AATTATTTTTTTTTCATGTTATAATAACATTTTAACAATAACTTGTTACAGTTTTGTAACAAAATATAATTATCTAATTTCTACTTTGATTCAACGAGCTTGCTTAGCTTGACAATATCATAAAAAATATCAAAATTAATAATTTTTTAAATAAAAAATATTAAATTCATTAAATTATTTTAAATTAAAATGAAATTAATAAAATATATAAGTTTTGAAAGATTACAAATATTATTACACCAAATCATATTATCATTTTTAATAATATTTTAGTTAAATAATTTATTTTGTAGCCTTTAGGAAAAAAGATCATATAGTATGAACCTCATAATTAATTGATATTGGATGTTGTTTATCGAAGATAAATCACGTACAATTCGTTTATCTCGTTCCCTCTTTCAAACCTTGGTCGCGGATCCCGAGGAGACTTCATTGGACCCTATTTTCTTTTCTTTCCTGTTTTTTTCTCAGGTTCGTTTCAATTCTTAGTTGCCTACGTTAATTTCGTGGGAATTTTCTCTTTCATTTTCAAAGTATGTTTCGATTCGATTTTGCTTTTCTTTTATATATTGCCGATTAATTCTTATTTTGGTTTGGTCTTTTAATTTCTTTATTTTGCTTTTGATGTGGTTACTTGGCTGTACTTTTTTTTTATTTACTTTGTACTTTTAGATTGCAATTAATTGAGATATTTTGTTATGTTTTTGAAATGAGCATTAACGAAATAAACGTTAAAAATGAATGATTTTGCTTAGACGTTATACATTTTCTCCGTTTTTGGGGATTTTATGTCATCAGTAGAATTAACGCGTTAACTATAAATTCCAACACTGTAAGCTTTGTTATCGAGGCAGGTAAGATCGAGCGTTTTAGCATTAATTTATAAGTTTAGATCTAAGCTTAGATAGCGGGATTCAAATAAATGTATCCGGAAAGATTTCAATTCATGATCCTGCTTTAATATGTGCATAAATAAGCGATTGTTGGATTAATGAAGTATAAGCAATGAAGATGTAAAAGGAAATGGGGCCATTTCTTACTTGTTATGTTTGTTTGTTTCATCATTTCTTTTATATTGATTTTAAACTGCTTAACACTGATTTTTTTTGCTGCTCTGCCGTTAAAGTGTGGATCCTTCAACTTTCTGTGGTTGCATCTTGGGGACCTATACGCGGATTTGGACTTAAAATTCTTGTACTTAAAAATATTTATCTTGCGGAATCTGAAATTCAAGTTTTAATTGGATCGGTTTGATAAATGTTATGTGGAATTGACTTAATTTATATCAAGCTTCTTAAATCATTCTCTAAGTATAAATTTGAATTTTGAAGTTCATAATTGTTCCAATGATGATTTCCAAGCGGCTCTCAATAGTTGGAAGAGATTCATTCCTCTAAAACTTTTACTTCCCTATAATTGTTTTGGAAAACGCATGCATTGTAATTGCAGTCTATTTTTTAGTTTGCTCTTTTTATTTCTAAGAAAGAAACATTCTTCATTGTTTTTGTTAGAATTGGATGATTGTGTGAGTGCTCTCTTTAACATTTCTTTGTACAAATTATAAACTATTGTTGAAGAATCGAAAAAGAAAAGAAAGAACACAATAATTTTAACGAGGTTTGACAATGTGCTTACGTCCTCGGTGCCTAGGCGGCGCTAGAAGTTTTATTCAATGTCTCATAGGTTTATGTTACATCTCTATTTATAATAAAAAACTTGATACATAATTACATAATTAACCTTGTACCGTACCGCGGACCTACGCCCCCGCACCCCCAACCCACATAATCGTAACCCCTCTACAAGACTTTCTTTGTAAGACAGTTGATTTTCACTCCGCTCCATCCCCTGTCCTTTTTACTGGTATATTTATGAGCCATACCTATCAACTATGCATGTTAAAGTGATATTGGCTTTCCAAACAATTTGTTGATACAAGTACCAGCTGCTGGATTTTCAAGATCTGAACCTAACTTTTGCTTGCATGAAAATTGAGAAACAAAGACTCTGCTAGTTAAATTGGTAAAAATGTCATTAATAAGTAAGGCTGATAGGAAAGCAGCTCTAGATGTGGCCTCCTGGTTTTTCAACGTTGTCACATTTGTGGGTATAATAATGGTCAACAAAGCCTTGATGGCTACCTATGACTTCAGTTTTGGTTGGTTTTGAGTGAGCATTTACATGCAAACATTGATTAACTTTGTGTTTGCACATAGTCTTGTTCATTGCGCTTGCATATAGATTTGGTATCTAACGGATCAATCACTTCTATGTTCATTATGTTTCTACGTAGCCTTGTTCTATGGTCCAACTCCATATGATCAACCTAAAGGAGAGAAACAGGGTAGCAAGACTAATAGCTTACGAAGTTATATGCATTGATTCTGTTTTCCCAACTGTGTAGGTTGTGCTTGTTGATTAGAAAAGGAAAAATCAAAGACAAACTCATAATGTTTATTGAGTAAAAGATGATCTTTCTGTATTCTGATCTCCTTTTATATTTTAGAAAATAATTATCTTTTACTAGATCAATCCAGTATTGAAGTAGGGATTCTTTGGTCACGTAGCAGAGATTTGATTTTAAGCTAATTGCTGACTATCTCAAACTTTAGGAACAATCTGTCTCCTAAGATCGCTCCCATAAACTAGAACAAAGCTTCCTCTTACTCCTTGGTTTTGTTCTTGGATGCAAACATATTTACGCCTGTTAGTTTTGTTAAACAATGCTCATTTTCCTTTTTTTAACTTTATATATTTAAGGAGATAACTAGGTAGGATAGCTATTTAAGATTATCTTTTCTTAATTTCCCCCAAACCCAGAAAACTAAGGGTTCTAGAGTTTTACTTGTTTTCATTTTTTCTCATAGATCTTATTTAAAGTTGAGATGAAAAAGTAAAAAAAATTCCAATTGAAGCAGGCCTAACTTTTTCAAATGCCTAGCAACTCTTATAAACAATAAAATAATGTTAGAGATAGAATTTATGTAAGAAGTATAACGCTTGATATTACTTGAGAACTGTCTGGACTAATATTGGATTTGGTGGTTTAGATGTTGTAATGTTGTTGCTTTTTTTCAATGCAATCATGCTTATGAATCGAAATATATTTTAAACAAATATTGTACAAATATAGTGGGTACACATGCATAAGAAATTGATTGGAAGATTCCAAACCATACTTTAGCATTTCTAATATGCTTTGGCATATTTCTTTGAGAGCTTTTATGTAACACCCCAACCCGTACCCGACCCGGATACGAGTCCGAGATATCTCATTGACCTTTTAAAACGATGTTCTTCCAAAATAACCAAATATTTGAACTTATTTTAAGAAAATACGATGATATATTATTGAATTATGCTTCATTATAAAAATTTAAGGCAAAAACGTATTTTTGAACAACAAAATGAACAGTATTGTGAACAGTACCGTGAACAGTGCATCGATCGCTGCGCTGCTACAGTGATTTTCGTAAAATATACATAAAACTCATAAAAATTTAACCATTCATTACTATACATTTACATTTACATAAATATGTTTAAAGCATTACAAAACTCGATCAGAGCATAAATACTTAATTTATCACTTTGTTAACATGCCAACCTATTTTTACATAATAAGACATTATTTAATCTACTTGTGATCTGACCTTCAAGTGGAGTTATGTTGTTCTGCTGAGCTTATAATAGATCTCTCTGCTTTTCGGTACTTACGTGTAAAACACTTACACGCTAAGTCATAGACTTAGTGAGACATAATAATAATGAAAATGTCATAATGAAATGCAATATCATGAAATCATATATTCAATCCATGCAATTTGCATAATCATGTATCTTACCCATTATCTGATCAAATTAACCATCATGAATTCATATAACAAGTTCAATAGATTCAATAGGTTCAATAGCCCATAATACAATACTGAGAACCCGAGGTATGTGAGTACTATGAGGTTGTGAACTATGTTGTCACCACAGCTCGTATAAATTTGCACCGAAGTGCCACGTAGAATTTGTCCCGAAGGACTGCATAGAAATGCACCGAAGTGCCACGTAGAATTGCACCGTAGTGCCATATAATATGTCCCTAAGGACCACACAGAAATTCCTTAAGAATCATATACACATACCAATGATCAAATAGGTGTCTCAAAAGACCTCATACATGTTCCAAAGAATATATATATGTCCCAAAGGACCACGTAGAATTTTGTCCCGAAGGACCGCGTAGACCCTCTACTCTTAGCATGCCAACTATACCTATAGTTCTCATCTACATAACATGGACTTTCTCAATTCACATAGTTTATATCACGTAGACATATCATTTTCATACCTTTATCACGTAGCTTATATAACTTTTCCTGCATATTCATGTCACATAATGCATATGATATGAATTCTGGTCATGTATCATAATATGAAATGTCATCATATATCAAAATATTGAATCTAGACTTATCACAAGTCTAGAACTGAATATAATACTATATTCATGCTATGCATATGCACTCACCTATATCTATTTGCCTTTTCTTCGATCGATCTTACTTGTCACTTGTTCCGGAACTCGTTTTGGCTCGATATCTACATAATTATAATTTTCAAGACAATTATAAGAAGCCTAAACCTTATAATTCAATACTAATAACTTGAACTAATTTAATGAACCCAAAATTCAATTTTCCTTTAGGGATACACAAATTAGGTTCAAAATTTCCATGCATCGATGCACCCCTTAATGCATCGATGCATATTCAAATTTGGTCTTAGTGCATCGATGCCATTCATAGTGCATTATATATATATACATTCCAAATTATTGGCATACTAAAAGATGTTGTAGCTTCCTTTTTATGGTGCATTATAATTGATCAATTGTTGTATGCTTTATTTCTCCCTTTTTCATCTCACATTGAGATTTTGTATCTTTTGAAGACAATAATTTATGCTTTTTAGTCCTTAAAATTGAATGTAATTTTCATGATTAATATCCTCATAATTACCCTGTCAGATCTCATGCAGTATCAGGCCTGTAAAGCCCTCACAAATCATCATCACAAGTATAATTACAAGACAGAAAGAAGAAGAAAAAAAAGAAAGGAACATGGCATGTGTATGGGGTACAACTAAGGCTAAAAACTTGATGTGAATATCGGTAACTTTTCACCAAGATTTTGTATTATTGTTAAAAAGCATAAAAACAAAAAGAGAGAAAATTTCAAGTTTTTTTAAAGTGCGTGATTAATATAATATTACCTGGGATGCTGTGTGTTCTTCACCACTTTCTGGCCGTACTTCCTCCACTTGTATCCATCATCCAGTACATCCACATCGCTCATGGTCTTGAAGCAAAACCTGGGTTCCCTTACCTTCCTTCTCGCTTTTATCCTTTTCATTTTCATGGCTGAAACTCCCAGGTGATCATGTTCTACACCCATTTTCTTGCTTCCCAAACACTCGTTTATCTCTCCCCATGCCCTAAAACCATATCAAAACAAACCCATACATCATTTACCAACATACCAGAAGACAATTTAATCTGTCAAGACTTGGTAAATATTTACTATTCCATTTTACATGCAAAGGAAGGAAATAAGAAAAAAACAATACCGAGTAATATTTGCATGATTTGTTCATCTAAATGTACGATCTCACCGGTAAGAAAAAAATTATTGTTCTTCTTACATGTCTCGGATTCAATCAGTTACATTATTAATAATTAAATGAATTCTAAACAAATACTAACTTATAATTATCGAAAAAGATCACTTTCTTACCAGAAATTTGCACTGGATCTCTGCAAGGGAAGGAGTTGGGGACCTCTAAACTCAGAAGCAAGGTGCTGCCTATTCTTTTGTGAGGTGAGGGATGAGATCAGGGTTTCAGATAGATTAGCAAAAGAATTAGGAAGTGCATCAGCAGCAGCTGCTGTGATATTGAAGGCTTTGAGATATTGATGGCGAGACATTAATGGAGGACATGAAGTCAAGTTCTGTGGAAAAGTAGTAAAGAAACCCATCTGTGTAGGCATCTCTTGTTCCTCAAACAAGCCCTGGTTTAGCATGGCTTCTAAGGTAGAAGACATGTTGGTTGAAGGTGATGAGAAACTGATCTATTTAGGGTTTGAATCTTGTTTTTATAGGAGAACAGATTTGGGGTAGAGGTGGGGATTTTAAATGATCGACCACAAATAGAAACAGTTTAGATTAAAACAACTGGAGGAAGGGTAGTCTCTCTCAAACTTTAGGGTAGATGCTCAACCAGAATTTGTATATATACACAATTATTCTTAGGAAATGAAACTAGTAACCAGACACCTTTAATGTGACCAACCACAAATCTAGTTCGGTTTTATTTATTTTTCTTACTTTAAATTTATGTATTATAAAACTAAAGGTTTGAAAATTCCTTCAATTTTTTTTAAAAATGATTAAGTTGGTGTATATTTTTCATTTAATTAAATATTTATATTTTAAAATTTTATTAATTTACTCTTTTAATTAATATTAACTGAATTTAATAGTTTCTTATTAGTTGAGATCTATCACATCACAACGTTTTCAAATACATATTTTAAAAATATGTAAAAAAACAAATAATTTATTATTTTTTAAATTTTTTATAATTTCAATAATTTTCTAATTTTTATATATATATATATATATTACAATTTTCATGAAAGAATCATACATCAAATAGTAAACCTACTTAAATGATAAATTAAGAACGGATAAAAATAAGATGTTTTATTTGATAAATTAATATTACACAACTTTATATAAGACGATAAAAACTAAATTTTAAAATAACTTTATCCTATCAATGATATGCATGGGATCGTACATCAAATAGTAACCCTACAAAATGATATGAATTATTCAAACAGACGAAAGAAGATGGTGTTTAGAGTTTTTAAGTACTTTTTGACCTCAAAAGCATGCAAATTTAATGTCTCGTTTGATGGTGGAAATTTCCTGCTTTAACAGGTCAACAATGGACGACAATTAGGTTAAATTTGCAAGCTGCTTCCCTCTGCCAGACTCCATGGAAAAATCCATGCACTCCCTTGTCATCCAAGAGAAATATAACGGTGATGGATATAATTTCTACGGTTCATTTATTATGTGTTATAAATTGATGGGGTTTCTTTGAGCAGTAGAAAACAAAGGGAAAAGGGAGAACGGCAACGATGATGAATCTGTGGGTGCAAATCTATCGTCTCTGCAATCAGTGGTGATTATGATCGATGAAAGAGGGCCTATTTGACTTTCTCATCAGAGGGAAAGAAAAAAGCTTGTAACCTTTTCCTTTTGATATTTAACTTTTTATGTATACTTCTCCTCCCAAAAACATAATCTAACCCCACCATTTCTCAGATTCCAAAACCACCCCTTTATGTTGTTATCATTATCCCTTCAATTTAACATCATAATAATTGTAAGCAAACATTATAATCACAAATAAATATTATTTTAGGACCATTCAGGATATTAAAAGAAAAATCCTTTGTGGGCCGTTGCTGCAAAATATTAATTACGCAACAATTTGGCTTAATTATGGCTCTATTATTCAACAACCTTATTAACGTGGTACTTTTGATGGTAAATCTTTGGTAAAATCATATCAGCTTTCATATATTGGAAAACAATGTGTGTGCAGTAGGCATAGGACGGTCATAGACATTATATAGCCTAAGGTAGGAGTTTTTATTAAAGTCTTGATGAGCAAAAGGGGACAATTATGATATATCCTATTTCATGCAAAAGAAAGCAATAACTAGAAAGCCTGCAATTCATTTTTTTTAATATTGTGAACGGCTTAATACCACCTTCTTACATGCATTGTTGTAAAACATTTTTTTATGTGTTACACATTAGGCTTTTTTTAGTTGAGAAAAGAAATACTATAAATAAGTGAAGATGGAGAAATTATTAGATGGTTTCGGTTTACTACGTCATCTATGGTCCCAACCAATAATAATTGTTCATGTCGTTTTTTGCAAGGTTAATATTCACCTCTTCCTTACATGTAAATAAAAAACGGATAATTATTTTGACATTAATTTAGAATCTATGATTCTCATTCACCAGGATTACCAATGATGTAGTGAGTCAGATTCATTAAATAATTTCCAGTGAACGATGTGTATCGAGAGAAGATTGAAAAGGAAAAAAATACTGAAATAAACCATATAATATTGAGCATAACTGCAAAATAATATGTGATAATAAAAAAAAAGAAAAATAAGTGAACGATATGTATTGAGAGAAGATTGAAAAAATGATTGGAGTGAACCTTATAATATTGAGCATAACTTGTGATAATTGAGAAAATGATGAATGGTAGAAAAAATTAAATAAAATATTTGAATAATTTAAAATCATCATAATCTAGTACCTGTTTTAATATTATTGATAATACACACCGTATAAACACAACTACTTAAATTTGAAACTTCTAAAAAATAATATTTTCTTTTACCACTAAGGTAACTCAATGGGTTCAAATTCATTATATATATATATATATGATTAGTTTGAGGTGATTATAAATAGTGAACTCTCAAGCATTTTTGCAGATAGGGATGGACATGAGTAAGGTTGGATCAAGTTTCCAAGTAGCCTGATTCGCTCTGAAAAATATTCATCCTCTACCCGAAATTCGATTTGACCCGGTTTAGGGTGATTTTACCTGACCTACTTTTTTTTAGATAAAATCTAAATCTGATTCGACCAAAAACAAATATATTTATAAAAAATATTACTTTTATTCGATGAAAATAAAGATCTAATTGAAAAAGATAATATAAAGATAGGTATTATTGTAATTATTCCTAATTATATAATGTATAATTACATTATTTTTCCGGTAAGGTCAGATTGAATTTTTTTACCTTAAATTCAAACGCAACTCTATCCGAACATATCATTTAAAAATTATACCCGATCCAAACCTAAACTAAAAAAAGAACTTAATAGTTGGGTCAGAACCCGTTGAGTTCGGGTCCAGCTCCCATCCCTACTTACAGATTTATACTCGAATCCAGAATCTCTAAGGATATCAATCATCCCTTTAACTACTAAAATTATTTGGTTCATGCTGAAATTCATTATATATTTAAAAGAAAAAACAATTTCAATTTTAAAGTTCAAAATTATTTTTTAATGTAAAATTATAAAATTAATACATATCACTTCTTTTGACGTAGCAAAAGAGAAACCCCCCTAGAAGAAGAGAGAAAGCTCTAGTTGTTATGTATATATATAATTTAAATCCGCATAAAGCAATGCTAATTAAAATTTCCCTCTTTATTTTGGCAATACAAGCTGATGTAGGGGTAACGCAGACATGATGCCACACTAGTACGTAAAAGGTGAACAATATCAAGCATGGTTTGCACTTGCCTTGGGGGGGGGGTCTTTTGCAAAGATTTAAAATTGAAGTTAAAATAATGTAAATGTTATAATAATAATATGGGAGGAGGCTTATGCTATGGTCCCTAATTTCAGGGGGGGAAAGGGTGGGTGGCAAACCCCATCATTTCATTCTGTCTCTAAATTTAGGTGGCCATTCCTCCTTTTTTTCTATTTGCTTACTACTTCTAGCTCCTTTTCTAATTTCTATACCTAGTTTTGGCTTCTTTCTTTTTTCCCTCCAAGTTAAATAAAGTTACTTAAATTCAAATTATTCTACGATTCGTTTGAATCTCCAATCAGTAGGTGTTGATTTTTATTCTTGTTATCCATCTTTTTTCCTAACTAGAATTCTTATCAAATAATTTATAAGATTATCGCCATTTTGACTATAATCAATATAATTAATTATTGATTTTGACTTACTAATTTGAATAGAGTATTGTAGAGATTTATTTATGAAGGTGATCCTATTCACTCCTCTTAAAATTTTATAAATTCATCCTATGCTTTTATCTTTGCTTATAAGTGTTCCGATCTTCAAACTGATGGATGGCTGTATTAAACGTATTTGGTAGATTTGATGATGGATGTTTATCTAGCTAATTATATTTATGGTTGGCTTTCATTGATGATGGATGTTTATACTAAGTGGAAGTTTTACTTTATTCATGTTTGCTGTAGTATTGTATTTTGGTAAAAGGACAATATGAAAGAAAGAGATTGTTGGTGTGAACTGGTTGCTTGTTTGGAGAGGAGAAGAAGCTAATAGCCAGCCATATTGATGGCGCTGCAGCTTCAGTTAGGTTTGGAATAGATGAGTCGCAACAAAACGTGTAATCTTTGATAATAAATAAATTTGGTTGCGTATATGATAATGAAGAAAAGGAAAAGAGGGATTGGGTAGGAAGTTCTGCTGTGCGGTGATTAAAAAACGGCTAAAAACGCGTGATCGGTTAAACAAGTGACCGGTTAAAATTTTAACCGATAATGTTATATCATTTAACCGGAAATATTATAAAGTACAATAACATATTAGGTAGCGCTTATTTAATGTAATAAGTAGCGCTTATATAATAAAATAGACATTTAACCGGAAATATTATCAAGTACAATAACATATTAGGTAGCTCTTATATAATGTAATAGGTAGCGTTTATATTGACCTATTTTCGAAGTAAATCGGTATGTTTATACCGGTAACATTGCAAATTTACATATTACATTATTATTATCGATTTCGATGTTTTTTAGATCGATACAATTTTAAATGTATGACACTTTATGCTTGCACCTATTTGGGCATTCATATTTCATTATGGAAAAAAGTATCGACACAAACTAACAAAGTGTCGATACATGATATAACCTATTCTCTCATAAAACCAATATTTATACCGGTTAGATTGAAAATTTACCTATTACATTATACTTATGGGTTTCGATATTTCCGGGATCAATACTTTTTATAAATGTATCGACACTTTATGGTTGCACCCTTTTTGACATTCATTCTGACCAAAAGTATCGACACAAATTTAGCAAGCGTTGATACTTTATGCTGACCTATTTTATCATAAAACCGGCATATTTATATCGGTTACATTGTAAATTTACCTAATACATTATAATTATCGGTTTCGATGTTTTTGGGATCGATAGTTTTAATAAATATATCGACACTTTTAATAAATGTATCGACATTTTATGCGTGCACCTCGTTTGTGCATTCATCCTGGCCAATAAGTATCGACACAAA